CGCATGTAAAATACATTGTTTATTTACATGAAATTCGAACACGTGCTGTAGGACAACCACCGCCCTTTAAAGTTAATAGAAAATGAAATATAGTCACATAGCTGGGCGAATACCCCAAAGAGTTGCACTAAACATGAATAATGTTTTGGAGCTACAAGTATTACTACTGATGTGTATAGAAGGTTACCCATAACTCATTGACATCTACAGAGCTGTCCACATGGTTTGTTTTAGCAATATAGTTGTCATTGTGAAAAAACAAAACAGATATGGTAATCTCAATGCCACATAATTCTCAGCTGATTCATTATGAGATCACACCAGTGCTGGGCATTCCTAATATTACTGTCCAGCATACGACTGATTGTAAAACACAACTTATAATACCATGCATGTATTACAACATTGATTTAATGCATGAATCTGCATAAATTTGCATATCAAATTGCATGTTTTATTATTTATTTACTTCAATGGAGACAATTTTACTGAGAAATTTTTCATTTTCATGCAAATTATTTTGGTGAAAATATAATCCAAACTACAGGCTTTCACATATTCAGTTGAAGAAAACTTTGAATTAGTTTGGCACCATGTATTTTTGAATTTAACTTCAGAAAATCTAAATTTGATGCATGTTGTACATCAATATTATCAGCTAAAGTTGTGTCCATCTTCTCTGCATGCAAGCATTAATTATTTGTTGCTATTTATGTTGATTTAATACCCCTTAACTCATTATATGTATAACATGAAATCAGTCTGACCAGTCTTGCTGATTTCTTCTCGTAGATTAGCACCACTTATGTTTGTAGATTGAATGCCATGTGAGGGCGCTGTTTATACCAGACATTTTCATGATTTCTTTTGCTTTGTTTATTCATTTACCTAAAACAATTTATCTATTTTTTCAATTATTTCATGATTCAGTAATTGTATATATCTAATTTCAGTGTATGCAAATTTTTGATTTCCATTTGTATAGATCTAGCTGGATTTTATATAAATTTATATACATTGAATTTTTGAGACCATACTGTAAATGATCGAAAATTCAATTGACAATCACCCTCTAATGATATTACAGTGCCCTCTATTGACAATTTAGCACCTGCTATTGTTTTTATAGCACCATGTAATGTTTTATTATTTTCCACATATTCATCTTTTTGTGTATTTTCTTTCCACTTTAACACCATCTACAGTTTTAGCAGTACTTGAAGCCATGAGAGGTATAGTCATCAAAATATCTACCAATGTGTTCATGGTTTATTATCTGAGACGGAGAATTTGTTTTTTAACGCATAAGCCAAGCAGCAGCTTATCAATGCACCCCAGTAAACATATGCATATTTAAGTGTGCCATTATTATTATTAACGAAGCATAACCACAACTTTTATGCAGTGAGCAATTTAGTATATTATCCTTGCTTAGTTTGGATCAGTTCCTCTGCTTTTGCTTTTAATCCTTCCACCCTCCTACTTATGAATGGTTTCACCCACAAGTAAAATAGTTGGTTCTCCTCAAATCAATATATATTCAACTGAAATGTAATTGTGTGATAATAAGCGTGATGAAGAAAACACAAAATGATAGTTCATTACAAAGTTGAGTTGTATTTGAGAGAAAGCAACTGTTTTTGGAGTGATACCATTCTCAAATTTGTTATTACCTTGGCACATGTTCCTTATATCTGTTGTCAAATGCTATTATCTACCTATATCTATTCATTTGTTTAAAATTTAGCTTATGAGTTGCACAATGGCAACTGTAAGGCCTTGTTCTTGTATGCTGAATGTAGCAAATTCTAAAAATCAAAATTCAGCCTCTAAAATTATCCGTTACTTTATAACGCTGTTCATGTATGTTCATGATAATCTCTTCTTTATACCCTGCTTGACAAAATGCAGAAATGTGATCCCTCTGTAACTGCAACTGAATGCATCCCATGTATAAGTCCCTATAATTTATATCTATTCAGCCACATCCTTGCTGCATCAATGCATGCTACCAATATATCACTGCTTTGAAGCTTGCCGAGTTAAGAAACCAATTCTCCAGTGTCCAGATAGTACACTTACACATTTTATTTTATACAACTGACAATATTGACACACCTATGATGTGATCACTAATCAAATTATCCACTAAGCACTTTAATTTCAACTGGTACATATGTACCATTCCATCCCGCTGATTGTTGTCATTGTGCCTAGTGTTTCTCGTTTCATGTTGTGTCTCCCTCTGGTGTTGAAACAGAGAATTGATTTGACTTGTATGAGTGTATGATACGTTATGCTGGAAGTTTGTATTGTGTGAATGACTGCATGCAATGCTGAGGAAAATAGTTGCCATGGTTACCCATATCTGAGTATATCATAGTATATGCCACTGCATACTCGAGTGTATGTTTCTAGACGTGTGCTATTGAATGCTGCAAGAGATTATCACCTGTAATGTATGCGAGCTGTATAAATGTATGTTCATTTCAGTCATTTACAATCCTCAGTACCTGTCTTCTTGTATTTGTGGTTTACACATTGACACAGTCTAATATAAATACCATGCAATCCATGTTGTCACATACATAACACTAAATGTGTCCTACACCATCTAGGCATAATGGTCAGTTTATTTCATTGTGCATGCAAATTTATTCAAACATAAACTACTGTTTATGGTAATGACATTGTCACACAATAAATCAAATGTATGGTCAATAGCTGACTGTGAATCAAATCAAATCAAATTTATGGTCAATAGCTGAATGTGAATCAAATCAAATCAAATTTATGGTCAATAGCTGAATGTGAATCAAATCAAATCAAATTTATGGTCAATAGCTGACTGTGAATCAAATCAAATCAAATTTATGGTCAATAGCTGACTGTGAATCAAATCAAATCAAATTTGTGGTCAATAGCTGACTGTGAATCAAATCAAATCAAATTTATGGTCAATAGCTGACTGTGAATCAAATCAAATCCAATTTATGGTCAATAGCTGACTAGGTGTCGTAGGAAGTGTCTTATGAGCTATGTGATGTGTACTCTCCATACACTACATTCACTACATTCAGGCTGCAAAGTGACAAATCAAATGTACATCCACTCTCACACAAAATTATAATAAATAACATTATAAAAATAATTTTTCCCCAATTGCACTCT